ATGATCGGATTTAGGATTTATGATCACCCTGGTTACTCTGTGAAAAATGAGTTATTGAGGGCCAAGAGTGGAAGTCCAGAGCTACTCTAAGTGCAGAGAGGAAATAAAGGCTGAGGCACTCTGGTAGGGTTAGATGTGAAGAGAGGTGGATGTATTTTATTAAAATAATTTACACAAAGACAATAGAGGCACCTACAAAAATGCAAAGATTCTGTAGCATTTTACAAGGCTCTGTTTTTTTTCCTAGGCCATGATCAGTATTATTAGAACCCCAGTGACCTCTGTACACCAAACTCATTCATGGGTTCAGTACCTTTCCAGAACGCTATCTATGTTGACTCCTACGGTTCTTTCCGCTTATGTTTCTGGGAAATGAGAAAACTTCTAACTCACCCTCCTTTCTGAGTGGTTTGGAATATTTTTATAAACATGCATGGTTTACTGTTTGCCTCTGAACTCTTTAAAGGCAGGGACTGTGTTAAATTTATCTTTCTATCACTTGGGCTCAGCAGAAAATACACACTAGAGTCCTGATAAACATATGCAATACAGGAATACCACAGTCTGGATGGTTTAAACAACAAATGGGGCCTCCCTGGTGGCCTAGGAGTTAAGTCTCAGTGCTATCACCTTGATGGCCCACCGCCCATGGCCTACAGCAACCACCTGAGTTCCATCCCAGACCAGGGAGTTAACCCCCACATATGGCACAGCAGACCTCTCCCGTCTTACCCGCTGCTCCCAATTTATTTTCTCACAGCTCTAGAGTCTAGAAGTCTAAGACCAATGTTACAGGTTTTATTTCTCCTTCAGGCTCTCTCTTTGGCTTGCAGAGGGCAACTGACTGCAGTGTCCTCAGGCGACCTTTCTCTGTGCTGTGTGCACCCACACACCCTGGTGTCTCTGTGCCCAAATTTCCTCATCTCATAAGCACACCAATCAAACTAGACCTCATTTTAAATTAATCACCTCTTTAAAGAACCTGTCTTCAAAAACATTCTGGGGTATAGGGGGTTAGCGCTTTAACGGGGGGGGGGGGGGTACAAGTTACTCTATAACATATTTCTTTGTTAGAAATGCAAGTTCATTAACAATAAGAAAATGGATACTTTTTTTAGTGATGGCTGTATGTTAGCTTTTAAAACACACACACACACACACACACACACACATACGATAAACAGTGTTATTTGCTGATGAAGAAACTGAGATTGAGAAAAGAGTGGCAAAGATCCCAGAGAGAGAGTATACTGAATTTGAATTTGAACCCAAATTGAATTTGAACCCAAATCTCATGATTTCAAGACCTTGCCTTCTAATAACTATATATTGTTGCCATCTCTAGTAGAAAGATGGTGAGTATATTTAATATTATAATGTCTGTGAAGTACTTGGCACAGTGCCTGAGACATAGTGACTCAACAAATGTCAGTTTATTTTCCCTAACACCACAGGTTTAAAGAACAATAGCATTTAAGTCACCCTTTTCTGACTCTCCTACTTTTTCTGGAATGTCAATTTGGAATATGCTTCTTTAAAAGATTGGCCGTAATGGTTATTTCACTCAACTCAGTGTCAAATCCTGTTCACTATTTTAGGAGATGCCTCTGTGTACATACGAATTCATAAGAACTAGATAATGAAAATGCTTTTACATTTAAAAATAGTTTCCACAATTCTAATGCTTAGCAACTAGCATTAAAAAGGGAAAGAAACGCACAGTAACATTCCTTTTCCTTTAAAGACCATTCTGTTTATAAAGCCATCTCTGACTGTGAGTGCTTTCAATCAGCAGGAATTAAGGCAAAATATATAATGAACTCCAAGTTTCACAGAGCAGTAAATTAACTATTCAAGATCTCTACCATGAGTAGTATTTACCAATTCATAAATGTAAAGGTTAATAAAATATATATGCAGAAATGAAAATTAACTCTCCAAACTAAGAAAACACTCAATAGCTTTAGAAATGCAGTCAAAGAGAATTCTAACCAAAATTTCTTCCTTTGTCATTTCACTAGTTACTGCTATAAGTGCTATCTCAAAATGTATAATAATAATAAAGACTTGGTTATGAAATCTTTAATTTCTTTTCAAATGTTCTAGCATAGACAGTATAATATCTCACATGTGTGTGTCTGTTTTCTCTTTCATCAAAGGGGCATCCAGTTGCCTTAGTGGAGATTCCAGAGATGGGCAGCAAATAATTTATCAGAAAAATGCCACTTTTTAGAGGTAACTGTACAAGTGCTTTAGCTATCTGCAACTCAACACCTGAGACTTGGCTAATTAGCATACTAAATGTCAGAAGTGGTTTTTATCTGAGAAATTCATAATTTATAGGCACCATGAATGTTAGAAGTGGGCCATCATTGATGACATTAAAGGTATTCTTGGATTGCTGAGGAACTTCAGAGGTGCTTTCTATACTTGTAGGAATCTAGTCAAGTCTGAACTGTGCCAGCAGGAGGGGATCTGTGCTGGACTCAGGTGATGCTGTGTCCTCTTCTTGGTATGGTGGCTCACTGGCTGCGTAAAGCAGACCATAAAGTACAGAGTCCTGTGTGTAGATTATTGTTTCATCTATCTCAAGTAAACCTAGCTACAGTATATCTAAAGAACAGATTGCTGGCATGTTTTCAAGCTTTCGGATAAAGTTGTAAGAACTGTTTTTGAACCTGCTTCTTAGTGTTTGTTAAATAAATGTGCATATGCATGGCAAAATTGAGTCTGAGATTTGTTTTTGTTGTAAAATAGTAGCCAGTTTGTTGGGGAGGAGCCAACCCTTTCCCACCAAAAGTCTCAGGGGCAAATAAAATGGAAGAGTTGTGTACTATCGAAGCTATTTAGATAGTCCCAGCAACATTTTAGGATGTTCTTTATTTTAATCAATAATGTTCTATGGAATGTTGAGATGACTCATATAAAAAATTAAGTATATTAATCTTATTCATCAGGCAATTCCAAACTGACCCTTAGTAATAATAAACATGAGATCATTTAAAGTGAATACTGTCCTCATTTCTTTGTATTCGTTAACAATCTTTTCCATTTCTCTAGAAAACAGATGAAAATGACAAAAAGTTACCTGAGAATGTAAATACCACAAATTAAAGAGAGGCTTTGTCTTCAAGGAGGACAAAGAATTCAGAGAGAAAGACTGGAACCAGTGCTTTTAGCCTTAGTTAAATTTCATAAGCCGTTTTGTTCTGGGTTTGGCAGAGCACAAAATGCTTTTGCCAATTTCTTTTTTTTATTATTATTTAAAGCCACGTGTTCTATGATGGGGATTTAATGCATATGTTATACATGTTTTTATAAATATGTTTTACTAGTAGAGATTACTGTGCTAAGGTAACCAAGACCAAACATCAGCTCATTATAATACAAGTCAAGGGATTGTTTTAATTAATCAGTCTCTCTCTTAAGGTATGATGGAATGGAATTTACCTACAGAGGAAATGGATTTTAGTTGAACTGTAGGAATTTATCACCAGTGAGATTTATTAAACACTGTAATAAATGGAAGGCTTAAGAATGTAACATAGTCTCTAGACAAATAAAAATTCAGAGTTGGAAGAATATTTTGGCAAGGTGTAACCTCATTTGGCTTCAGTCTTTATTTCCGTAAAATTTAAATGTTGGTATATGTTGTTATATCCCAATCTATTCATATTAAGATCCACTTTTATTATTCACTCTCTCACACAGACCCTATATTTAGAAAATTTTGCTAACCAAAAGGCATGTAATGACTAATAAGTCCTTTCTCAGATTTTTATTAACAAAATATATTAACCATCACTTCTGGTTAGTATAAGAAATTCAGGGCTACCACGCTGCTGGAAATACTATTGGCCAAAGCCAAAGAAATTTCCACACTGGTGGAAATGCTATTGGCCTGTGTAGGTCGACTGTGGCAAAATTTATTATTTCCATCAGGCATTTTAAAATATAGGCAGTGCTGATTATAGGAGAATAATTGGTTCCAGAAAAGAGTCATTTAATGTGAATCCATGTAAAACAGAGGTCACTCTGCCTTGAAAGTTGAAGTTTAAATTTATGAAAATAGGTTTATTTTATTTCTGATAGAATTTTAACTAAGGGTGTATCTCTACCTAAAAGTATCCTAGTGTTAGAAGAACAATGAAGAGCAAAATGCCAGTCAACAAATGACATCCTGAATGAGCTCCAACTCTTGCCGTCTTCCCAGACTCCACCCCATTTTCCACTGAAATTAGAGGGGCTGAGGATTACAACCCCCCAAATGCCATGAACTCCCCTTTCTGAATGGAGGGGGTGCTGCTGGGCTGAAGTGGAGCTGAATGGCCATGTTGGACTCAAAAAGACAACAAGCTTGTTCTCTTTCTTTCCAGCTTTGGCCCACATCTTGGTCTGAGCTCAGATGCTATTGGTGATAGGATGTGTCCATCACATAATCTCTCTCTCTCTCCATTCTCCCTCTTCTCACTCCCTTTGTAAATGATATATTTTGTTTTGTTTTTCTCTGCATGTCTGAGAACTTTCTTGGACCTTTTCCTGAGTTCTTAAGCACATAGGTGAGGACTTACAACATGGGTCACCCCCCCCCCAGTTTTCCCGGGGTTGCCTGGAGCAATAGAATAATAAAAAGAGTGAGGAGAATGGTATTTGCAATTTTTTGGATGATATAATTCCCCCCTTCCCCCCTCCCCAAAAAGCCTTCCACTCATTCTTTTTTTTTCAGCTGTAAGGGTTTTTATTCATCACATCATTTTGTTGAAACAGTGAAAAAAAAATTATAAATACATTACTGTTTGACAATGGGAAATTGGTATAAATGATGATATGTCCATATAATGAATTATCTTGTCAGGCAACTTTAATTTTTCTCTACAGGTTCATAAGGAGAACATTTTGGGGCTGGGGACAGATAGGGAGACACAAAATCTTCAAGGCCAAAAGACCTTCTTAATCCTTTGATATTCATATCATTTTCTTTTGCATTCCTGTCGTAACAGGGTGGTCCCCAAGATACAGGAGGTTCTAGGTTCCCTGCCCCACCCAAGGGAGAGTGGAGCTGAGGAGGGAAGAAAAGAAGCTGGAGAGGAGACTGGAGAAGGAAGAGGGGTGGAGAGCCAGAAGGAGACCTGAAGGAGACACGAGGAGCAGAGAGACATGCAAAGAAGCTGCACTTGTTTCTTGGTCCTGAACTGGTTGAAACTGATGTAGGTGAAAGACCCGTAGGGAGGTTAACAATGGCAGCTTTTATCTGGATTTTGCTGCTTCTGTCCCAGACGTGCTGGCCCCTTCTGCCCCTTCCCTGTGGGTTCCCACCAGGAGGTGCCTTCAACTTGTGACAGGCTTTCAGGCCTCAGGGGCCCTGCTTTGGGCCAACCCTGTTTGGCTGAACATTTACCCACAAGGGGATGGGTAACTACTTTGGGTGCTTGATTTGAAAACTACATTCTTTGTCTTTTCTTTGTTGCACACTAATTATATTAAAGTTCCTTTCCATTAAAGGTCTTACAGTTTTTGTCTTAATGCAGCAGATGGCAGGACCTATTTAGAACGAGCAGGCTTGGGGGTTCTGGGGTGCTCCTCTCCCTGTAACACCAATTTTCATAGGCCAGATATTTGAGTTTAGTTTGCAGTTGATGCTTGCTGTACTTGTGCTGTGTGGGCCAATTATAAGCATCAAGTAACAGTCAAAAAGAGAAGCAAGTTATTGAAGCCAAAGACAGGACTAGCTGAAAAGCTAGCATGGGAAGGGAGTGGATTGTTTCCTCTTTAAGTGATCACTTTATGAGTGTTTAGTTTTTCATATCGTAACTTTTTTTTTCCTTTTGTGACTTTATATCCTGGTCTGCCTGCAAGGGTCTTAAGTAGAACTCCCCTTAGGAAAATAGCTCATTCTCTGTTACCTATCAAAAAGTGTCATTAACTTAGCTGGCCCAAAAACCTCAGGCTGGGAACTACTAGATTATTGTAGTCTTTCTTTCTCTAGTATTTTATACATTTGGTTATATTTTATACATTTGATGTGAAAATTGAGAAACTATTTGCTGTAGATCATATTGCTTATTACTGTCTAAAACAGGTGTAGGATCTGGGTTCCTAACTTTGATTTTTTTTTTTTTACTTAAAGAATTTTATAGTTGCAACTGTATATGATTTCATAAATCTATGCCTTGTCATTAAATTCTAGATATTACTGATTAGAAAAGGTCTTTGACTTCTGCCCATTAATCCTCCACAAATTTTGAAAGAACCAATGATAAGTTTCAAGCAAGGATAGTTGCTTGAATAGTTATTGTGGATCACACAATCGGAGAAGGGTGGCAACTGCCTTGAGTCACATGTGTAGTCTGAGAGTATCTGTGGTCCTGCTTTTATGGGGCTGCTTATTAGGATGGGGTAGCAAGGAGCAGCATCACAGTGTGTTTTAGGCTGGGCTATGCTCAGGGATGTGAGATGGGTTACATGATTCTTCATATGTCACGTGTCTCATTAGCATCTTAAGTCTCCAAGCAGAGGTGTGCATTATAGCATGAATCCTCAGTCATTTTTAGGTTAGGTTTTCTGCCACCTGTATCTGTGCAGACATCAAATTTCAGTCAGTTCTGGAGACACTGCATGAAAACAGGAGGCCTCTATAGGGTGGAGGGTCTTTTTCTCACTCATGGTTGGCTGACGTGGGGTTCTGTGGAATCCCCATTAGCCTGGGGCCTCAATAACAGGATGTTAGACAACCAAAGTCCTAAGTACAAAAGATTCTGTAACATAAGATGTTACAATTTGATTAAATAGAAATGCTTTATATTGAAAATATAATGGTCTCTTCAGGAAACCTCATTAGTTGTAAAAGGGTATCTTTAAAAAATATGCTATGTTCTGTTAATTTTTATCAAGTGAAATAAAGCTGAAAAGTTCAGACACTGGCAGTTCAGAATAGCATACTTTTGTATAAATCAACCAAGAGAATTTAATTTCTTAAAATATTTCCAAGACTTAGTTTTACTAAATCTAAATTATAGCAGGTCCCATATTTTAAGATGGTACCTGGAATCAGAGGGGCGTCTTCAGGCTCCTATGCTGGAATTGTAACAGGGTGGTTCCCAGGAAAGGGGGAGGTTCCAGGTTTCCTGCCCCACCCAAGGGAGGGTGGAGCTGAGCAGGGAGAGAAGAACCTGCAGAGGAAACTGAGGAAGGAAGCAGGATGGAGCCAGAAGGAGACCTGGAGGAGGCGCATGGAGCCTAGAGACACGTGAAGAAACTGCGCTTGTCCTTTGGTTGTGGACTGGGTGACACAGATGTGGGTGAGACCCGTGGGGAGGTGACAATGGCAGCTTTTATCTTAATGTTGATTTTGCTCTTTTCCTTCCAGGCTTGTCTGGTTATTTCTGATCCTTTTCTGTGGGTCCCCACTGGAAGATGCTTTAGACTTGTGACAGGCTTTGGGGCCTTGCTCTGGGCCGATCCCATATGGATGGACTTTTTACCCACGAGGGGACGGGTAACTTTGGATGCTTCATTTAGAAACTAGACTCTTTGCCTTTCCTGTATTGTTTCCTAGTTTTATTAAAGTTCCTTCCCATTAAAGTCTCATATTTTTTTGTGTTGATGCAGCAGATGACAGAACACATTTAGAATAGGCAAGTTTGCAGTGTTTGGGCTGCCCCTCTCCCTGCCCCGTAACAGATTCAGGCTAGAAGACCTGAGTGTGAGAATTAGAATTTGGGCTAAACTGGTCTTCAGCCTTTGAAAACTACCCAGAATTTAGATTCACCTAAAATTATATCATGGGATAGTTCCCTTATTAAACAATTGACATGATTCTATTTACTTGAATATTTTCAATGGGAATTGGCAAATAAAATACATGCTCTTGCTATTCTTCCTTATCTACCTCTATGAGAAACTATTTAAACAGAAATAAAGGAGAAAAGAACCTTCTTTTGCCCTGAGTCACATCTAAACAGTGTCACATATGGATGGGATAATATCAAATTTTGATAACTTCTTTTGAAGAGTCTCAGGATTTTCTTTGTTCCTTTTGTTTTTCTAAAATTCATAGAAAGCATGTTTCCACTAACCAATAAACCATCTAGCATATCAACTAGGAAGTGGAACCCTTCTTGATTTACACTGTTGCAAAGAATGGTCAGTGAAAAATAGGACATTTAGTAATAGTTGAATGACCTCTTGCTTACTGATGATGCTGTTTAAATGTATTGATAAGATATGCTCAGTAGTGTAATTGTGGACATTCAGAAATGTTTTAAATTTTTTAAAAAATTACTAACATGCACAAATAGCTTTTATTTATTTATTTTTTTTATTTCAGTCAGATTGCCTAGACTCTTCACTCATCAGCTGTATGACTTGGGGATGATAATAAAACAGATATCTTTGGGTTGTTGTGAAGATTTAAATAAGCTAACATATATGAAACTGTAAGAATAGTGTGTGACACATGTCAATTTTTATAGTAGTGCTAGTGTAATTTTTGTTTATCCTTACAAATTCACTGATAGACAAGTAAATGAATAACTTCACAGATTCCATTTTATAATTAATTATAATTATAATTCAACTGAGAAATCAGAATGATATGTAAGGCATTAAAATTAATCTGTAGCTTTGCCTCTGTAGAATCAGGGGGTATTTAAAAACAAGCATAGGTATAAATTTCCCTAAATATGTGAAGAGCATGAACACTAAATGTAAAAAAAGGATCTGGGAAAGTTGATGGAGAAAGGTACAAAAATGTTCACTTGATTAGTGGCTAAGAAATGGTATCACACATCTAAAGAGGTGTGATCCTATACTCCTAAATCATATACAATACTGTAAACCAGTGCTAAATATTACCATAAATAAATAAATTAAATCAGATTAAAAAATGAGCATCACATTATTTTGGGAGATTTCATAAAATGCAACCCTTTCTTTGATAGTCTGACAGGATGGAGTGGTGTGGTTATTAAAGCTAAGTTCCCAAGACCAGCAGTGTCCAAAACACCTGGGAACTAGTTAGGAATGCAGATTCTCTGGCAGCATCCCAAATGTACTGGATCTGGCATGGGGCCTGGAAATCTGAATTTTCATAAACCCACCACACCTAAGTTTATAAACAGTGATATATCCCTGTGATTCTAATTCTGTCACATGTTTGCTTTTACCTCCTCCAAAGGTTAAGAACTACTGCATAAATGAAAATCAACTGTAATTAAAAACAGTACATTTTGAAAAAAAAATATCAGGAAAACAAGATTTTTTTCCTAAAAAATAAGTATTTTTTCTTTATAGACAAAAGGACATTGTTATCTTGATAAATTAAATCTGGATTTAAAACCACCCAGCCCTAGCTTAAAAGAAACCAATGTAGTTGAAAAAAATCAAGTGCTGTTCTCAAAAGAATTTTTGTGTCTCTTTGGTCTACTCTGTGGGCTGAAATGAGTGTATCTGTTTTTATTCCTGCCTTAGCTACTAGCCTGAAAGTTCTAGACCACTTCCCATGCCTGATGTTGACCTAGTGAGTGTGAGTAATAATGTTTCTCAAAATAAAATTAACTGAAACACAAGCTTGTTACTCAGGAAAAAATTAGTTCCTTAATTATAAAGAGGTGGTAGAACTAATATTTTAATTTCCATGTACAATTTAAAAAATAATTTTGTAAAACCGCAAAAGAAATTGTTTTTTTTTTAGCAGACACATTCTTTTAAATAATTACTGGAAAATAAAGTGTCTGACTAAAGCAATATTGTCAGATTTTGTTCTTAAAGAGACAGTTGAAATTAACTGCTCTCCAAGTAAATATGTCATAATTCTTAGCAAAACTTATGTTTTCATGATGTGACATGGCAAATCACATGAAAAATATATGTTTCGCCTTCAATCTGGGGTCAAGACAAATTGAAAATATTTCTTTTAATTAGAAGGTAATTTTCTTAATTTTATTATTCGGGTGTGTGGACTATTAATTTAAAGACTAGGAAAATGAGAATTTTGAGGACAAAACAACTTAGACTCTTGAGTCACTGGGCTCGGTTCCTGTAGAAATGCTAAACTCTCAGTCTTCCCGGGAGAAGACTGGCATCCCTCTGCGTGGGTTCTCGCAAGTGCACAGCTGATGGCCAGATGGTGACAGTTTGGGGAGAAGCAGAGCTGTCAGCACCAAGAACAGTCAGGTTGCATACAGATGTTCTCCGTGGACTGCGACAGAGGGAGACCTAGCTGAACAAAGATAGAACTCTAGTTCAGGAATTATTTAGGGACAGTTCAGCTGAATATTGGGCAAGAGAGAAAAATGTTTCTTAACTCTCACTGTGTTAGTAGCTTGAAAATATAGAAAAACGTATGAAACCTTTGCGGTCAGACTTGAAATTCTGGTAAATGTAAGAAGGGAAATGTTGCTTTAGTCAGCTGACTGGAATGGAGCAGAGTACCTCGAACTGTACAGATTAAAAACACTAACTGGTCTGTGTGGTAGAGTCTCAACTTCTTTGGATTCCAGCCTATAAGTTGGCCAATAGGTTCTTCATGCCTCATCTAGTGAGACAAGCACAGGGATGAACAAATATACATGGTGCCATGGGGTTTTCAGAACTGACAGTTTCCTTCGATTTGATGCCACATGCTCAACCTTGCTGTTGTCTTGAAGCCTTGGTCTTTTTACAGAGATGAAAAATTCACTATTTAAGTAGACATATGCAAAAGGAAGAACGGAGATGTGGGTCTGCTACTCCTAAGCAGCCTGTTCGGCCACCATTTTGTTCTAAATCCTAAGCAAGGTCAAAATGACCCAGTCAGTTAGGTACAGGAGCCCAACCCTGCAAGGTGCCCTTTCAAATCAAACAAGAGCACAGAGCTGGATCATGCTGGGAAGGCTATGCATCATGAGGTATGACTGAAAATGCCCAGGGTGGGCTGAGGACTGATGCATAACACGTACTCCTGACTTATACATCACAAGGTATGACTGGGAACCAGGCCGAGGACCGATGGATGTATGACAAGGGACCCTAGAAGCTGATTAGTGGAATGTCTTGTTGATAAGATTAAAACGGGGCAGGGGGAGGGGCAGATTAGGGCTTGGTCTCAAAGACAATACCCAATCATCAAGCAGGTAAGAAGTGCCTGGAGGGCAGACTCACAGTCCCTGAACTTCTACATCCTTCCCCTTTCTTTAATCTTCTTCCCCTTTCCTCTTGCTCCTTCCCCTTACAACTGATGTTGTGTATCAATAAAAGGCCAGGCTTTTGCTCTTCAGCAACATCCTGCAATGTGTAGCATGCTCCACGACTCCTTCCTCGTCGTCAGTGTGGTGTTGCCCGACGCAGCACAGAGGTGAAAAGAGAGGGAAAAGGCCGTGAAAGCAGAGCACAGAGTAGTGGTAACTGAATCATAGAAATATGTAGAAAGAGCCAATGGCTAAAGGAAATCCTTGTTCAGTCCGACTTGTCTTGATTCCAAGTTCCACTTGGATGAGTTCCCTTTAGAACGTCAAATTAGTAGACATCTGTGGCTTAAACGGTCATCCAGTCCTTTTTACAAGTGTGCATGCCAACTTTAATATCTGTGCTGCCCAGCCTTTGTTGAGAGCCATAATTGCACCCACTGAACTTTAAAGAACCATGGCTTTCAGGCTTCTCTTCAGGAAACCTCAGGGAACTGGTGGTTTAAATTCTATGGCCATTGGTAAAATGGCTTCATGTATTGGACCAGTCTCTGAAATGTTCTTTCTTCGCTTCAGAGGGGTAGATTGGTGAGATTGTGGGGCATGCCCTCTAGCTAGGAATCCCGCCTTTCTTGACTGTTGTGCCTGAGAGATAGTGAGGAGAAAAATATGCTTGCCTCAAAATATGTCATGTGTTGCAGTTTTGGATACA